TCAATCAGAAAGAATATATGCACCCCTGTGTTCTTAGTAGCATCCTATATAATAAAGAGCTAATATGCAGTCGTCATGCCTTTGTGCTCTGGGGCCGGGGGAACTGAGGCTGGGCTGGGGGACCTGAGGCTGCACCCCTTGCCTGGCAGGGCTTGACAGGGGACCTGAGGCTGTGCCCCCTGCCCTTCAGGGCTTGATGGCGGTGGGGCCAGCCAGGTCTGGGTCTGGTGCAATTTTGAGGCATTACGGAGGTTGGGCAGCGACTTGACTCTAGGTCCCGCGGTGTGCCCCAGACTCTGACAGGAGGGAGATTTTCATACACATTTTACTAATTTTCTTTTATCTCTGACACTTCTATTATAGAGAAAGGGCAAATATCAATATTAAAATATTTCCTCTAATTAATTCTCTTAATGTGCGCAAATTTTGTGCACCAGGCCACTAGTATATATATATTGTGTGTGTGTGTCTGCCCACTCTCCTTTATTGTAACATCGATCAGCATCCCAGGCACCCTCTTCTGCGTTGTCTCCTCAATGCAAAATGAGCCCCATGAGGGCAGGGGTTTTTGTCGTTTGTTTACAGCTATATCCCCGGTACCTGGCTCATGAATAAGCCTTTAATACACTTTTTTAAAAAGTCGATGAACATGTAACATTCTTTTTCACAGTTATTTATATGCAATTGTATGAAGGTATGTTAATTGATTGCCTATGGGTAAACATGTTTCCTATCTTTCTACATAATAGCCATCTACACTGATCAACCTTTAAAAGGAGGGGGTGGTTAATCTATACAGAACTGCTGGGTTGCAGGATACGTACAGTTTTAAAATTTGGTATATAATACTAAATGCCTTCCAAAAGTTTTAACAACCAATAAGATGCCTCTTTCACCACCTCTTTATCCAAGGTGATTTTGCCAGTCTGAGGTCAAATTTTTCTATTATTTTTTAAAATATATTTTTATTGATTTCAGAGAGGAAGGGAGAGGGAGAGAGAGAGAGAGACATCAATGTGGAGAGAGAATCATTGATTGGCTGCCTCCTGCACGCCCCCTACTGCAGATGGAGCCCCTCAGGCAGACACTCTATCCACTGGGCGAAACCAGCCAGGGACGAATTTTTCTATTATTATTTTAATTTCATTTAATTATGCATGAAGTTAAAATCTTCCCAAATGTTTGAAATGCACTTTTTTTCTGAATTGCCTGTTTATACCCTTCAGTTTTCTTCTGTGTTATTTTTTAATAGTACTTTACATATTAAGATTAGCCCTCTACTGGCATTTAGAAATTATTTCCTAATTTATCAAGCATTTCCCTCTTCAAAATTGTATTCCATACTTTTCTCCATTATTTCAATAGTATCATTTTCACATTTGAATTTGCAACTACTCTGGGATTTGCTTAAGTGTAAATAATGACACAGGATTCCAGTTTGGCTCCCCCAACTAATTCAAAACGTCACTTCACTTTGGGTCTACCTTTGGACTCTCTGCTTTGTTTGATATATTTATCTATTTATGTGCCTGTTACAAAGTGTTTATTGTAATTTAAATATATATATATATTTTGTACTGATTTCAGAGAGAAAGGGAGAGGGAGAGATAAAAACATTAATGATGAGAATCATTGATCAGCTACCTTCTGCACATCCCACACTGGGGATCAAGTCCACAACCTGGGCATGTTCCCTGACCGGGAATTGAACCGTGATCTCCTTGTTCATAGGTCAATGCTCAACCACTGAGCCATGCCAGCTGGGCTGTAGTTTTTGTGTTTTTTTAATAACTGGGTTTACCTGCAGTCCTCCTCTCCCTTCCTTCCTTTGCCTTCTTGTTCGTTGTTTCTCTGGCTATTCTTCACAGTTTTTTGTGGTGTTGTTTTTGTTTTGTTTTGTTTTGTTTTTTTCATTTAAACTCTAGCATCAGCCCTAGCCGGTTTTGCTCAGTGGATAGAGTGTTGGCGTGCCGACTGAAGGGTCACTGGTTCTATTCTGGTCAAGGGCACATGCCCCGGTTTCGTGCTCGATCACCAGTAGGGGGCGTGCAGGAGGCAGCTGATGAATGGTTCTCTCATTACTGATGTTTCTATCTCTCTCTCCCTCTCCCTTTCTCTCTGAAATCAATAGAAATATATTTTAAAAATAAAATAAACTCTAGTATCAGTTTGGTTATAATCTGCAAATGCGTATAATTTTTCCTTTTATCTGGTACTTATATTTATTTTTCTTGTCTAATCATTTAATTAGCAATTCATACCAGAAATTTTAGTAATAAACATTTGCCCAACACTTCATTGTCAACCAAGAAACTGAAAAATATTTTACCCTTGTTTAATCTTGTCCTTCTCTTATCCCCCTCAACAACAGAGAGGAACCTCACCAATCTTCCCAAGCCCTTTACACAGATCCTCTGTTTTATCCTGCTACTTGAACAAGAAACGTCCTGCCCTTCACATCTAAATGACCACCCAGCTTTACCCTCTTATCTTCAGTGTCAGAATCCACATCCGTTATCTATGTTTTAATCCCATATTCAGTGCTTCACTTTAGGTTGAATGGGTGAGTAAGCAGTCTTAGAAATTATTTTTTCCTTTCAATTAGAATAGAATATAAGAGAGAGGGGAGAAGAGCATGTGTTCCACATCCAACAAATTGAATTGAAATCTTGGAAATACTAATTTTTTTATGTATCCTGCTTGAGAATTATGATTCTTTGTAGGGATCGGCTATAGGGGTAAGCCTCGGACTGACCTCTTGGCAAAGCCACAAACAAGTCCCAGCTTAGAGGGCACAGCCCTCTTAGCATAATTAGGCTTGACCTTATGACCATCCCTAGATCTTATCTGGGTAGCAAATGGGCTGTGGGAGATGCAGCAAGTGCTGCCAAAACAAGTGAATCTCACAAGAACATTGTAACTATGGTGACCACTACCTTGTTTACCTCTGGCTATAAAATAAAGGCTCAGGTTGCCTCTGGACCTCTCTCCGTGGCCTCAGCCAGGCACAAGGGACTGGGCCTAAACCAGCAGTCGAACATCCCCTAAGGGGTCCCAGATTGGGAGAGGGCACAGGCTGGGCTGAGGGACACCGCCCCCCCCCCCCCCCCCCCCGCCACAGACTACCCAAACCCTTGGTTGTGCTGGCACAGCACAATTCCTGAAACTGAAGGTGTGTCTCATTATTTCTGAAAAATTCTCAGCTATCTCCTTTTCAAATATTGCCTCTTCCTTTATTTTCTCTACTTTCTACTTCTAAAATTCCTGTTAGACATAAGTTGGCACTTTTACCTTTCCCCTGTATCTCTGTCTCTTTCACACTAACTCTTCATCTCTCTACTAATTTCTGTGTAATTTCCACTGACCCAGCTTCTGGGTCACCAGTTTTTGCTTCAACTCTGTCAAACTTACCATTTAACTTCTGACCATTAAGTTTTGAATATCAGTGGCTATATTTTTCATAGGTGAAGTCATTTATTTTAATTCAAACCAGTCTTGTATCTTCAATAATGTCTTCTTCTTTACCCAGATGTTTTAATTCCTTTTATGTTTATAACTAGAGGCCTGGTGCACGAATTCGTGCATGGGTGGGGTCCCTCAGCCTGGCCAGCAATCGAGGCCTATCAGGGGGGCAAGCTGCGGGGAGGGCTGTGGGCAGTTGGAGGGAGCCAATCTCGGGGCCCAAATTGGGCTGGTTGGCCACTGCAGTGCATGTCATAGCAACCAGTTGTTCCGCCGTTCTGGTTGCTGGGCTTTTATATAGAGAGATTCTCTTAAACATTTTTATTTTATGGTTTCCATCTGATAAGTATATTACTTGAAGTTCTTAATGACCAAATCCTGCTGGTTTTGGTTTACTGAGGCTGGGGGTTGGGGAAGTAATGAGTGGTCATTTTAAACTGTGAGTCCATGCTTAGTAGGGTGTTTTCTGTAAGAATCATGTAAGGCCTGGCCAGCAGGCTCAGTAGTTGAGCATCAACCTGGTCAGGGCACACGCCTGGGTTATGGGCCT